CCTTTTTAAGGAACTACCCCAATTTTGATTCACTGCGCGTGGTCCACCAGCAGTAACAATTGCAATTTTTAGTTCCTCTCAATCAGTACCACCTGAACTTGTTTTTAACTAAATTATCAAATTTTCATTATTGTGCTTGATAATCCTTAGTTTTTTTTTAAATCCATGCCATCTCTACATTAATTTAAGAATTTGTAATTAATTTTATGCAAAAAATTCATGCTTTAAACAGACATTCTGTAAAAATTGACATAAGTTATATGCAAAATTTCAAAACATAAAAAAATACTTCATTGTTGGGCTGGAATAAAATATGGTAATACTTGTTTAAGAAAGCTCGATTTTGAGTGTGTCATTAAAATAATAAAATAGGCAATAAATTACTACTCCCATACTAAATCAGATTATTGCAAATTGCATGATCAACACTGGGTGACACTAAAAAGTTAGAAATCTACTAATTGGTGGAAAATTAGATAAGAAATAATTATCATAATAAATTCTAAAAATGTTTCCAAAGGCTTACTTCTTGACAATTTGAACAACATCCTCATCATTCAATATATGATCTTTTCCAACTTTCTGTGGGTTATGTTTCACAGATGAACCCCATGCTAAAGCACTAAAAGAAGAAAAAAAAACTTATTAAAAATCTTGTTGTTAGTGTGGAAAAACTAGTCAGAAATGAAAACTAATTCACAATAAAGCTGTCTGTCATTAAGAATCTTACACATGTACTACATGATTTTTTATTTATAAAAGCCATATTTAAATATTTTCAAATGACTGCAATGATAAACTATACTTAAAATATTTTTTTCTGCAACCTGCTCTTTGTATGTATATAAAGAATTATTTTAAAATAATGATTCTATAACTTTATGATTACATGTACATACCACAAATGTATATTCTTAACACAAAACTTCAGAGAATGGTAAAACATTTGTCACAAGTTACAAACTCACAAGACAGTGTAGAAATTCAAGAATGTGTTTTTATAATAATAATGATAGAGATTTTCTATATTTAAACACTATTCTCATATAAGTAAAAAAATGTGACTAAAATAAAGATGGTATTTAAAAATGTTCTGCTTTTACAAGATTTAAATACACCGTAACAACAAATTAGGCTCAGATTTTCAGATAAACTCTCCATTTCAATAAACTGGTACAGCAGTTTAATAAAGATTTCAACACAGTTATCAACTGAACTAGACATTTGTTTGACATAACAAATTCCACCATTTTGATTTTTCTGGTTCTATACACAAAAGGATAAACTGTTACAGAACAACTGACTGTTTGGTTCTCGAATGAATGTTAAGGATACTGCCTCATCACATGATGTTTATGGAGCCCCATATGATCAGATTTATGATGGTGAAATACTCACCTGTGAACACTATGCAACTAAGCAACTAATTTATTAGTTTCTTTCAAGATTATATTTCTTAACACAAAATGCTTGTAGCAAATTGGGCTAAATGTTAATGTTAAGCATTTAACAAACATTCACTAATGGTTTAACTTAGATGCCTTTGCTATTTTAGTAAATTTTTTATTATACAAATGCTAAAACAAGTATGACTGAAAAAAAAAAAAACACTTATTACTGGAGAGACTCATGTCTGCAGGCTACATGTTTAAACATGCTTATAATATAATAAGAAACATTAGCTCAACATGAAAACTCTACCCGAGATACCATTATCAAGTGAAAACTGTAATTTCAAGCCACAACTATACTAATTTTTTTTACTGGTTGTTTCATGAAAACCCATATGTAAAAAATTTAATTTTGATTGTAATTAACACTTCCTTTAAAAACAAATTTTACATGAAAGGCAATTTTTTGCAGCTCCAAGTTCGAAGATAACAAAACTGTATGATTACATAATACTTGCAAATAAGATAAGACTATCATATTGGTTAGAATGCATTGTTTGAATCACAATCTAGAAATTAGTACAGGTAAACTATGATACACATTATAAACCATGCATCGTACACTAATCTTATACTTCTAGAAACATGAAATTCATAAACCATTTCTGAAGAATACCTAATAAAACAAATTAAGAGGAATATGGAAAAAAAACATGGTAGTTCATTTGATTTTGTTTTTTTTAAATCACAAATATTAGGTCTATAAACTTTATAAACAATTTGTTTCCTACCATTTCAAATAAATATATTTTCACAACTTACTATTTAAATTCCTTAATGATTGATCGATGAAGTTTATTACAAAAATCTTCAACACTCCTTCTTTCTTGGCTTAAAATAACAGGTGACTCATAATCAGGAAGCTGACCTTTAGGTTTAGTGTATCTAGAAGATACAAAAAACTGAAAGTGTTATGGCTTAGCTAAACAAATCAGTTTACAATGAAATAAATATCAGTATGCTTTTTAATCAAGTTGCAATGCCAGAAGACTCTTAGAAAACCTGATTAACAAAACATGTATACAAATGGCATAAAAGTATGACGATAATGTAAGGTAAAACTGCAAAATACAGGAAGCAAAGGGAAGCACAAAATGCCTAACATTATCACATCTGCTAAATGAAAATAAGATTGTGTAATCTTTCTCAGTAACACTTTTCTAAATTGGCATTTATGAAGAAAAAAGGTTAATTTCTTAAAATGACAAATAAACTTTACTCTGCCATAATGTAGTGTAGATATATTTCTATCTTAAAACTAATTTTGCAGAAGAAACACACTTAGTAAAACATATAAATATACGTATTCATTGAAAAATATATGACATTAAAGGATTCACAATAATCTGTGATATGATAACTGTCTATCCTTACGAACAGTTTATTCCAAGCATGAAAATTAGTGTGAGGTAATTCCTAGGAACAAAAGTAGCATTTTGACTTTACTCTCCATAGCAACTGCTGAACAGATTTTTTTTCCCATATTAAAAGTGACATCTCTCATGCGTGTTTGTACTCACATCCTAATTAGTTTGAGATAATCCCACGTCATCTCAAGCAGGTCATCAAAGTTCCACTTGTGATGTGCAGAGATTGGAACACAGTGAGGTATTCTGTAGATGATGTCCAGCTCCTGGAGAGACCAGCAAAAGTCATTCCATGTTCTTAAACACCACTTTGATCCACCAAAATACCATGTACATGACTGCTAACCAGTCAATGTTTCTTTCAATAAACTTTCTCTCTCATTACAATTTTTTTTTTTTATAAAGAAAACAGCTAAATTTTCCTTTGCAGGTTCGGGGATAATAAGTAAAGGTAGCTATTAAGTAATTTTTTTAAATATTTCCATGTGAACTTAAAGTAGCAAAATGAAAAATCACCTGTAAATTAAAACTGGCTTGTTCTTTGAAAAATAATGAGTTATATTCTTATTGGTCTGAACTGCCATGAGCTAACCTGTATCAGGTTTTAACTGTTCATAACTGATTGATAATTGGTATATCATAAGAACAAAGATCCTCTACCACCACTGTATAATGTTCAGCAGTTGATAACATAACCAACTGTAACTTGCTTATACGTAATCTACATCCAAATAATAGAAGTCTATTACCTGTATGGATATCTGATCAATTTTGTTTAACACATATATGCATGGAGTGTAGATTCTGTTTCCTTCTATTACATCAATAAGGTCATCTGATGTTGCATCACATTTTAAAAGGATGTCAGCATTGTGAATTTTGTACTCGGACAGAATAGTTTTAACCATATCTGAATCAAGTTCTGATTGCTGCACCTGTAAGGAAATAAAAGTAAACACAACAAAGTATTTAATATAGATAATCAAAGGCATATCATGACAGACAAAATAACAGCTTAGAATAGAACATTTGGTAATTATTTCCTGTTATTTAAAACCATTAGGTGAGAACATGTCATTAAGACACGTTTACACTAGTCAAAGTAACTGGGGTATAAAAAAGTACAGAAATGTTATCATTTTGTTTTGTATTGAGCAGGTAATTATGCTGTTATTTCAAGACCTACTTGTAAGCATTAAGCCTTGCTAATGTGAACCATTTTATGTGGCATCATCCATCAACTAAATCCAGTAATACATAAAACCACAATAAACATAGTAGCCTTTGTGTATATACCCTTATATTTAACATGAGGGATACACCCATGGCAATGTCAGAGGACAGTGCCAACTGGCACTGAAGCAAAATTTCTAGCACTTCTACTTATGATCAACTGTTTAAATGATGATAAAAAATGTAAGCACTCAATTTTTCCATAAAATTTATTAGTATATTGCAAACACTTCAGAATTTAATCTTTTAGCTTGTGAACACTTGCTGAGCTGCACTATATTACTGTTGAAAGTTGCAGGACCTTGTAATATATATACATACATACATAAAATACATTCAATTGGTGTTTGTAGGTTAAGTTACTAGAACATTGAAAAAGCACTTTCTGACATATTTTATAAATAGTAATTGTTTTAATGCAGGGAATCACTATTCTAATGATCTTTCCAGTCAGACTTATGCATGTCTTGTATTTTCTTTATTAAGTAACTCCTGGTGAGTCTTGTCTACGAAATTATATACATTATATTAATATGTAAATAACAAACAATAAATCATAAATTACTGAAGCCATTTAAATGCATCTTTAGTGAGCCATTTAATCATTTTATCTGGATCAAGAATTATGTAATAATTGAAACAATTTATCAAGAAATTGTAAAAGAAAGCAGTCATCAAGGTTCTAGACTACATTATGTTATGATGTACAGAAATGTGAATCTATAATTTCAAGGTTACTAAACACTTCAAAACAGAGTAAGTTGAATACAAGGAAAAGTTTCTTAAAAAAGGTTTTTCTTTGGAGTTATTTATTAGGGAACAAGTTGTTTCAAAACTGAGACTATGTTTGGGAATAACAAAAACAATTGTTTTGACCATTTCTTTTCTTCCTACGTATACACACAACACATAAATACGCGTGTTCAAAATATTTAGAATACCACAGTACGTTCAGAATAAATGTATAAAGCTCACACTAAGAAGCAAATCAGGCTTAAATCAAATTTTTTTAAACTAATTAATATCAGTTATTTATTCAAAATATACCATAACTTTGTTCTTATGCTAAATGGAAAAAATAGATATGCTAGTATTTACACATTAATGAGTAATCTTATATATTTCATGAATCAAATAGATTTAAAAGACTTCTGTTCTAACATAGAACAATGTACCATTCCCCAACTCTGTTACATCTAAAGCACACTTTGATAAACTTTCACGTGAGCCAGTTTGTGTTTTCTTTTATATAGTAAGTTCTTGATAAAGCAAAACACCACACTTTCAAACAGAAGTCTGGAATTCTTTCTGGCATGAAAACATCTTCAAAGTTTGTCACTGTATGTTTTCTTAAGCAATAATTTACTTTTCTGTGCAAGATATTAGAAATTGATCGTATGTTAAAAATTAAATAATTTCAAGGTTATGGTAACTATCATTTCACTTTTTTAACTCATTCCACTTATGGTAACTATCATTTCACATTTTTTAACTCATTCCACTTATGGTAACTATCATTTCACTTTTTTAACTCATTCCACTTATGGTAACTATTATTTCACTTTTTAACTCATTCCACACATATGGATTCTTGCTTTTAAAATTCCTTTGCGAGGTGTTGGATCATAAATTTTTGTGGTAATATTGTCCATCAACATTCCACTATAAAGTAAGTCAATTATTTCCATCTTCTACGTGTCAGTTTCCCTCAAGATATTAGAGAGGCCTATATGACAACATCTTCCTGCTATGGCAGCAAGTGCCACCAAAGCTGGGAAAAATTCCGATTATTTTATGGATTTACTAGATAGCATTGACTCTGATGAGTTGATGCAGTGAATGAGTTAACAGACATAACAATGTGAAAAGTTTATATTACTATATTTTGATGCAAGTACTTCAGTGATCTTTGATATGTTCAACAAGTTTATAATAAACTAGTCACTTATGATCATTATTACAAACTGAAGATAATGTACTCTATACTTCAAAATTTATAAAATTACAAGCTGATATACCCGTCCTTTGTCTGGGTTACAAAATTTAAAAAAATGAGCTGGGTGGATGCTAGGATAAATGACACGAAAATCCCAACTTTCACACAATTAATTTATAACATATTATTATAGTTTTCATTATTACCTCATCAAACGTTTTGTATAAGTTTTAAGAACTCACTATGTATATATTTAAAACATGGTATACACTGTGCGATGGTCAAGGTGACTTTGTAGGAAGAGGTAGTGGCGGTAGCCATGCTTTCTGTTACCCACTTTCAACAACCAGCTCTTAATGTCCTTCCACAATGTTTCATGTTATTAATTAATTGTCAGTCATTGGCTGCAGAAGTGTCTTACGGGTCAAAGTAGGAAGTGGGCATAACTCAAGAAATGGTTCTTCATATGGTGGCTATTGGAATGGAAACTTCAGCTGAGTTTATGTATTATTGCAACAGTGGTGGCCATTGTTTCATTACATTTCTCCATAGAGAGTGCTAGCAAACACTCCGAGATATATAAAATGTTTGTGTGCAATGTTACACGTCACTTATGTGACATCATTATAATGTCTACTGACTGACGGACAGACAATATAATACTGTATAGTGGTGTGAGTAGTTAAAACAGATGACCCCCTCCAGAAGGCCTTTGGCCCCCTTTCAGGGAAATTAAAATATATATAGTGTTATATTTAATCTACAAATTAATAATACTTGAAATATTTCTTCCTACCAATGTTTGTAGGTTAATTCCTCCTTTTTCTTTCTTTCTCAATGTGATATTTGGTGGTTGTTTGTTAAGTCTAATTCCATACCCTTCCAACTCTCTCTCAATAATCTTCTTGTGTTGCAATGGTTTCAGCACATCAAGCACAATGAAGATTAAGCTGCAAGTACGAGCCACTGTAAACAAAGGGAACTCGAGAACTAAGTATTAATCAGTATCTCGCATATGATAGTGACTGAAAAATATAAGCACTTATGTAATAATAATCAGTAGCTCTGAGTACAAACCACCCAATCCAATTAAAATATATGAAAACAGTCTTATAAAAATTAAACAAGTAAAAAAACTTAAAGCTCTAATAAACATACGAACCTTCTTTTTATAACATTGATGTCATTTATGCAAACCATGATATGTTAATTTTATTTTTATTATTCATTAATTCTTATTTTGAAATTTCATGGCTTAACATTACTATTTTCAAGCTGTTAACTAAGAGAGAAATAAAAAAAACTGACCACATAATTTAACATTTAAAAGAAGTCTTGTATGAAGTTATTTTAGACATGTAAATGATATAAGCTTCTTACCCAAAAAAGCTTTGTTTTAATAACGTTTAAGTTAAACTCAAGTAAAATGTCTAAGTTCCAATTATTGATAAAAAAAAAGTCAGAACTGTTGCTTACCAGCAATAACCTGTCTTCCTCTGCCCTTCCCATCTTTAGCACCTTCAATGATACCAGGTAAGTCTAACATCTGTATCTTGGCACCTTTGTATTTAATGACTCCAGGTACAGTTGTAAGAGTGGTAAACTCATAGGCTGCAATTTCGGAGTATACTCCAGCAAGTGTGTTCATTAATGTTGACTTACCCACAGAGGGAAAACCTATTGGCAATGTTTAAATTTTTTGTTTTCTTTTTAGATTTGCCATTTCAATTTGATTTTGAAAAACAAAGATAAAAGTCAATACGTAAAAACTGAAAGTTCTTGGGCAAAGATGTTAAATAAAATAATAAAATGAAGATCAATGTTTTTTTACTTATACAAATATTTATTTGTAAAGTTAAAAAAATTAAAAATATACAAGTTAAAAGAAACATAAAACTATGTGTTTGGGTGTAAATAATTACACCATCTTCAGGAGAATCCAACAACAAGTACATATAACATTGCTTATAAACTTAAGGTATGTGAATAATTAGCAATGGTGCCATTTACAACAATAATTTCCAAAAATGTATTTCGGTGGCTCCTGGGCCTAAATCTCTATTTGTATTTATTTTGTTTTTAACAAATTCTAACTATTCTCTTATATTTAATTCATCTTTATCCGTTAACTGTTGAAGAATTTTTACATTATCCCAATCAATAATATGTTTAAAATTCACCACATGTTCCGCCAAAGCCGATTCACCCGTTTTTAATTTATCCACATCTATAATGTACAAAATTCTTTAACAATCCTCTTGCAATCCTTTCATTACAAACTCTACAGTCATGAATGGTTTCAGTGAAAACTGCAAGTTGTTGTTCCACATTTTCTAGTTTCTGAGCATCATATGGATCTCCAATTGATGGCCTACCAGCTTGTTTCCAAAATGTTTTGCAATGCTGCTGTCATGCCACCTATTGTTAGCAAAACAAACTATGCTCTTTTAAACTTGGCAAAAACTGTGGCCAAACGAGGTGAAACAAACTTTCCACAATAGTGGTGGAGCATTTGGAAAGGGTTAATAACGTTTCTTGCGGTATTTTATGGTCATATGTAACCTCACATTACGTTATTTCTTCTGAGTATGGTAATAGTGTTTATATGATTTAAAAATACATAATTGTTCATGCCACATCATTAAATATAAAAGAGATTTAAACCTACATAAGTTGTGTGTTTAGTACCCAGTTAAAAATTAAATCAGGGAAGTTGATCACAAGACAGAGAACCAAAAGCTTAATTAATTATTGATATATACTGTTATGGCTCCAAAATACTTTCTTATTAAATCTTACACAAGAAGACAACTTCAACATCAGTTGCTTTTATTCACACACAAATATCAGAATTTAAACACTGGATCATATAATCCCTCAATATCCACTCAATCTCATTGTTAACAGCTACAAACTTACGCTACTTGTCTCTTAATGAATCCCAAACACCTTGTTAACAGCTACAACCTTACGCTACTTGTCTCTTAATGAATCCCAAACACCTTGTTAACAGCTACAACCTTACTACTTGTCTCTTAATGAATCCCAAACAC